TATGCACTGCAACATACATAAATATGCACATGTAAATATTTAATTTATAATAAAATTCAGCTATCTCTTGAACAAGCTACTTCAAAGTTAATGAAAATATGTTGTTTACTCAATACAACAGTGGCTTAAGTAATCAAAAGAGTTTGGCTGAGATAGAACATGCTTTAAAAAACAGACAACTGATTATTCAGTAACCACAGGTGGTCAAGACTTTCATTTCACATCACATTTGACACTGGAACAACAATCTAACCATCAGAACTAGCATGCAACCAGACAGGAAATGAGCATCCAAACGGCTACCAGAGTTCTCTAGCTGCTCCAGATGATGCTACCTCATTTCTACCCTCATGTTCCTTCGGGTGTTCATACTCGTGTTAACTGACATGTGGACATATTCCGGATAGCTCCTTGCATTATCCAATATATCCATCTGCATCAGAGCTATTATTAAAAATGAGTCAGAAGTGACAGTGATTCTTACTTGTCTCTGAAGCTCTGAATTAACCACCTCACACATTTTTAAAATCCACGTTTTAAAAAAAACAAAAACAAAAGGACAAGGGAAGTTTTGACCATCAACAGGGATAAAGTTCAGTATGGTCTTTCCACTTACATCAGGATCAGACTTTCAAAATGCTTTTAATCTTTTGAAGATTATGGGGGAATCAAATTCTGCTATTATAAGAGCTTGGTGGAAGGAACCAACAGAATTGGTGTTTCCCAAAGACTTAACAATAATCTGTGCCTGAATCTCATGTGGACTAGACAACTAATATATTCCATGAACGTAAGTCTGTAATGAGCTTGAGACAGCTCACCTATAGTGCATTCTGAACACAGAGTAAAACTTTCCAAATATAAGCGAACTCTGAGCATTGATGCTGGTTACAGCTGCTTGGAGATGCTGTTTGTTGGGCATTTAGTATATTTCTCCAAAACACTAAGGCTATAAACACAATTTCAGCAAAGAGGAATTATATCCTTATCTGGCCCAATCTCAAACCTTCATACTTCCACACCCTGAATCTGAACAAGCGATCCTGAGTCCTCAAAATCTCTATATGGCCACAGTCATTAACTATATGCAATTTTATCTCACAAAGTATTTTCCAACTTGTTTTCTACTGACAGCATGTCTTTATAACTTTAAACAAGCATTATAAGAATCACTCAGTGGTTTTACTTCACAACTCAACTATTTGGGCCACACAAAGCATACACCTCCTCAAATCTTTCTCCTTCGTTTAAGAATGGAGTATGAATGCTACTCATAAATAGACAATGAAATATATCTTTTCTCTCAAATTGAACTCTGATACAAAGACAGTGAAACATTCTCTGTTTTCAAAGATACTGAGTAGGAAAAAATAGAGACTGTATTTCCTTACTGAAATAAAAGAGCCTATTGTGAACAGGATAATAGCCTAGTATACAAAAAGACAGAAAGAAAAAGTATTTATGTTGTACTATAAATATATTCAATAATTTTGATAAATGGGTAAAATATATCCTAATCAGTTTCACAGCTGAATACTCCATGACTTTCTTCTGTCTGAATATACAGTAGTAGATTGTATCTTTTAGTTCTAAAATTTCTAGAAAACAAACATAGTGACTATGAGTTAGGGTCTTTCACTATATCCAAAAGATCTCTACTATTTATCCCTCTATATCAACTCAACCATAAATTAATTACACATTACATGCCAGTCCCCAGAAACACACACACACATGCAAACACACACACACACACAATGCCTTTGAAAACAAATATAGTACATACAAAGGCAGACATGCAAATGCATAAATTATAATATAGACCATGCAAAGAGATATAAGAAAGTGTCATGAATGGAAGAATAATACCATAACCATTCTATCTTGGGAAATCAGTGAAAGCACCTAAGAAGTAGTTCAATATTTTAATTTAGTCTTTTGGAATAAACACAATTTACCAGAAAGGTAAAAGTTGAAGAGTTTTCCAGGTAGGAAGAGTAAAACTTTGTCATTCACAGGCTATCTGGTATGTTCCTAAGCATGAGTGAAAAGCTTGACATTACTGCAGCTTTGGGTCTACAGCAGGATTTGGGAAGAGAGGAAAACAAAGCCATAGACTGATGTTAATCTACATAAAGATTTTGCTAAGGTAAGGACTTTCAGATAAAACTATATAGGCAAAAGGACACACGGTTTCCAAGTCAGACAGACAATCCTAGTTCGTTCTCTCTCGTGGTACCAGGGATCGAACTCAAGACCTCACAACCTTGTACTTGCGAAGCAGGTGCAGCGCTGTTTCTTAAGGAAATAAATCTGATGGAATGTGGAAGGAAGAGTGGAGAGACACTGAAAGTCTGAGGTTTCATAGACAGTGCTTCCAACTGTCTACTTAAGAGATAAAAAGCAGCTGAAATTGAGAAACATTTGAAGCAGAAGTAAATTTAGAAACCTTTCAGATATATAATAGTATAGAGACATAGAGTAAGAGAAAATTTGTGTTGATATAATTAAAACTAAAATGAATCATTTGTATAGAAACTACACTAACTTCTACAATAGCAAATTTCAACCTTATTGGGTCAGTGGTCTACTTAAAAATCCTAATGGTATAATTGACAATGTGAAACAGGAAGAAAAGAGCTAAAGGTGTATGTGAAGTGGGAAAAGTAGGGGAAGGAAATAAGGGAAAAGAAAAAAATATAAGAAAATGAAAAAATGGAAATAAAGTTTTTGTAAATAAGGAAGGGAGGAGGGGGAGAAGGGAGGGCAGGGACAAGGGGAAAAATAAGAACCAAGACCTGTCATGTAGAGGTACAAGATCCCAATGATGAATGTAACTGTACTGTATACCTAAAATGTACCCATAAACTCAATGAGGAAAAAAAAAAGAATCCCATGGAAACTCTAACACTGTTCAGATAAGCACATATACACAGAACTGTCCATTTGTTTTCAGTAGGTCCAGATTAAGAACTGCTGTGGATGGAGTTCCTCAAGGGAAGCAATTGTGCTTTATTCAACAGTATCTCCACAGTGTCAAAAGAAAGACTGGGTACACATAGGCAATTCATGGGCTCTATTTAGTTACACCAAACTCTCCATTAAAATTTGAATGATTTCACTTAATGAACCGCCTGCATCACAGCATCCCCTCATGCCCAGCTTATATTAACAATATACTTTGCTCCCGTCCATCTCTGAGCATACCTAACATCACCTTCTCTTCCAGTCATATCTATTTGTATTTGATCCAGAGTATTTATATTAAATGTATATAAGTACATTCACAGGAAGCCCAACCCAAGAATAATTCAGCAATGCACTCACTGAAAGAAGGTAAACAGTTCTACAAGATTCAGTACCAAAGGAAGAGTCTGACTTCTAAAACGTTTGACATGTCCACGACTCATTTTTTTTACTTTTTTCTAGCCTCATCTTTCTGAAAGATAAAAAGTTATACCACTGCATATAGCTGGCATTAATTCAGTAGAGAGAAGAAGAAAGAATTTTGGATAGTATGATTTAACTTGCCAAGTGGTAGATAATGAGACTACAAAATATGTCTCTGGCCCTGTGAAGATTCTGCAAGTATGTAAGGTTTATAATGAACACCATAGCCAGACAATCTGGCTTAGCTCTGACTTGCCCACTTGTTAGCTGTGACATGGAGCAAGTTATTTAACCTTTCTGTGCCTCAGTTTCTTCATTATGTACAGAGGATTAATAATAACACCTCACTGAATTATTGTAAAGATAAAGGGCTATCGTATTAAGAAGTGCCTTACCACTTCTGCGCTACACATGTTAGCTAAAATTTCTTCACGGAAGTCTTGGCACACAGTAAAATACTCAGAAAATTTGACTCATAAGGATTAAAACGGTGACTCTAACATGAAAGATCAAAGTATCATGTCTCTGCAGCTATTGGAATACATGATTCTGCTTACTGATTTAATTCTCTACGTTAATTCACTAGCATGAACAGGTGGACATTTTTCACCACTAAGTACATTTATCATAATGTAATCATTTCCTAGAAAATACAAGATTTAACAGAATCAGTGATATCACTGAAGGTATGAGAATATATGACAAAATAGCATGTTGGTCTAATCGGGTCCATATTAACAGCTCTAGTGTTGGTAAAGTAGAAAAAATGAAAAGAGGTCACATCCACTCAAGCAGTCACAAGGGAGCACTGACGGTGGCCTGACTAGCAGTTAAGCACACTGTTTCTTCATGACAATCCTACATGTGTAATTCGCTAAGAAGGACCCAAAAGTTTTATCTGTGTTTAGGTGTTCTATTTAGGGTTCAGACAAAGATGCTATGCTGCCTTCTCTCCCCCTGACCAGGAAGCCCAAGATTCCTGATCTTCTGTGGTGACCCAGACCCCAGGGTGGAGGGCGAAGGAATTGCTCTGCGCAACATAATTCGAGACTAGGATGCAATGTGAAATTACTGAACTACCAGAAGGATAGCATCTATGAGACTGAGTTAGAAATTAAAATTATTCTTACAAGAAAACTATGGTCTCTATGAAATATACTCCAAATATTATAGGATTACCGAAATCCAATAGGAGGACAGCAAAAACTAGAAAAACACTGACTTATCATCGTGGAAATGGGGAAGTTATATTCACTGCAACTCTATCTGGATATGCTTTTTATTAGAAAGATTATGATATTCAGCTTTCATTCTAATTTTAGACATGTTACTTTAATATCATTGCTATATTTTATGGGTGTTTTCTGCTACAATTAAGTCGTAAGTGTCTCAAAAGCAGGATTCTCGGAAAAACAGAAACAAACAAAATAGCATTTTTATACTTCCTATTGGAACCAATTTACTTTAAAGAATTCTAACATGCCAGGATTGATCTTGGGTATGGCTATTAAGTACATGATAATTATAAAGCAAGGGACTGGAGCCAAACTATTAGAAGAGTACATGGTGAGAAAAGTGAGTGTAGGCACAATAGACCATGAGAAACCTACCATTGTATTGTGCTGAGAAGTGGGAGTCCTATGGCCACAAGTCTCTGGCGTCAGCAGAGAAACTGGCTGAAATTCCTCAGAGTGAGGCTTGTTGGGAAAACTCACATGCAAGGGAAGGTGAAAGGCTGGGAGCCCATCACTCTCCTCTTCTTCCACTTTCTGTCTGCTTGTCACCATGGCTACCTCTCCATCTGCTTCCCCATACGGAGAGGCTGGTCGCTTGGAAGACATCCTGGAAGGAACAAAAGAGGAGAAAATAATGAAACCTCCACATAAATCCTTAATGCTGTCATTGTGTGGTTAGGGGCCATTGTAACAGAAATGCCTTTTTGTGCTAGCAGAGAGCAGGAAACCATCCAAATACCACTGCAAAGCACACACAATCAGAAACAATGGCCAAGCAGGTAGCAACAGAACAGTGCTTGTTTGTTGTGAGAATAATACACTAATATAGCACTCTCTTGTATTCTGGCTTCTTAAACAAGAAAATTCACCTAAGAACACTGCATAATGAAAGACCATTCCATTTTAAAGGAAAAAAAAATACCCATCTAGTTTTACACTTTGATAGACCTTATTGAAGACAGAACATCTATGAATAGCAAATACGGTTGGCAGTTTAAAGGAAAGAAAAATAACTAAAATTTCCTTCATCAAAAATATATTAAATCAGTCAACGATGGCCATTTTAACAAATTTGAATTTCATTAAAAGTATGATTATTGTGAAATGTAGAAATACTGGTTAGAAGGAAACCTCAGAACAACTGACAAAAAGTTTGGAATTTTTTTAAAGTTTAAGAATTGAATACATTTTACAGTTACTGCTAATCTGGAAACATTTGAGCATCTCCATTCCCTTACCTCCCAAATCACTCAATTTTGGCATTCAGCTCCAAGACCAAAGTTGCAAGGCAGTTTAAAAAGATACAAATATAAACATATTTCAGTTCTACTTTCAGATCTCTATTCATGACTAACCTCTAGGAATTCACTGTTATTTACTCCACAGAATACTGAAACAAAAGAAAACGAAACAACCCAAAGAAGAACATTTTGTTTCAATAACGTAGGAAATGGGTTTAGATAGCTGAATAGAAATTAAACATTTTCTGAATATTCAGGACTGATTCAGAAATATCATCAGATTTAAAAGCACATGGCAAATATTTTTAGTTAAACATAAATTTCCTTTTCATTAAAAGTTTCCTATAGAAACAGAATTGAGTTTAAATATTTAATGAATTTTTTTTAAAAAGCTGTAGTTTAAAACTTGATTTAACCTTGAAAAAGTTGTAATTTTTGCTTAACAAAAGAGCTTATTGAGTCATCCTTTCTTAGTCTAGACCAGGAGGATGACAAGCCAGAAAGTACTCACTGCCATACCATTTTCTTTACTTACAGCACACATCTTTAAATTTAAAATGTATTTCCTAAAGAAGTACTTCTAACCATTACTGAATAAAATTATTATTAGTGTTAGAAGTTTCAAAAGGAAAACATATTCAAGTACTGAAGGTAACCTATTAAGAAAGGACAGCAGAGGTCTGGGGATTTAGCTCAGCTCAGTGGCACAGTGCCTGCCTGGCAAGCATGAGGTCCAGAGTTCGGTCCCTGGTACCAAAAAAGAAACGACAGGAGAGTAGAAAAAAAAAATGAAGTCTTTAGAATCAGACAAATACTGACTTTGCCACTTAATAGACGTGAAATTGAATCTGTCTCGATTTACTCATCTTCAAAGTAAGATATAATATTTACCTCTTCAGACATGAAAAATTACTAGCAGAGCACTTAAGACAGAGTAGGCACTCAACACTGTAAATAAAAACCCTTGCTTATTTTACAAGTTTTAAAACTGAACTATGGCCCACTCACCCTCAAAATACAAACATTAACAAAACAAACTTCCTTCTAAAAGTTTTATATAAAAACATCATGAAGTATAAAGTCTCCCATTAGAGAATGCTCCCTGACTAGTGCACTTAACTGCAATTGATCAAATGTATTAGCAAGTGTTTAAAAAGAATTGTTAACAGTAGAGGTATTGATTAGCTAACAAAAAAAAAAAAAAAGAGGACATTTGTCAACTCCCATGATACGCTATGTAAAGGAGAAATAGCGTTGGCCAGCACATGGTGAGTATTTTTATTTACTTCTGATCCCATTATTGAGGTGTATTCAGTGTGTGCTCTAAAATATGGAGGAGAATTATAAGGTGCTGGAATTGAAACAGAATAGTTTTAGTTTCATTGGCAATGACATTCCTATCAACAAACTGATATATTATTACACGTAATAACTTCTAAACACTAGAGATATTTAAATCCTGCTCTGCCCTTCTGATCATATGTTTTGTAAGTCATCTTCTATTCCCATATAAACAATAGATGGACAAAATACACTTGGAATATTTAAGGTCTTGTGAAGAGATTTAGCACAGTAAATTAATAAAGGAAACTTTAGTTATATGCTGGTTTCACCTGTAGCTTGATTATAAGGGGATTATGCCTTTGCTATAACAAAGCTTAGTATGTGTGGTTTGTGTGGGTATTATCATTCTTACTGGAATGAATAAATTGGCATTCTGTGGTTTTTACTGTGCAGTTCTCAATGTCTGAATATTCTTGACAACATCAGTCTCTGGGTCATCAAACAGAAAGAAAGAGCAACGAGTTTTTCTAAATTAATACAGACTTTCATAATTATGACCCTTCATTTGTTTTTTTATTTACTAATATTATTGGTAATGATTGTGAAAGATTGAATGTCCATAAGTATACATAAGGCAGACAAGGTAGATAATGATACTGTTCTAATAACTTATGGCTGTTTCAATATCCAAATAACATTCTGTAGATCCAAACAGGTCTACATATGAAAGAATCATTGTTTCAGAGGGTTAACTGATCATAAAACAGTACATATTTAACGTTTATTTCAACCCATTACCAGAGACTTAATGTGTTGGGCTTGAACATATTTTCATAAAGCTCTGGTAGAAGATTTTTAAAATAATTATGATGGAAACTACCATGATTATCTTTCAGTAAGTAGACTAGTAATTCAGAAAATAGTAAAAATAATCTAATCGATTATGTAAAGAACCAACTGTTGATAGCACTATAGTATGCAGATTTATTATGGCTCACAGAACTTATTATGGCAGGAGATTGACTAATTGTTCTTTATCCACCAAAGGGTTTCATCTTTGTCAGAGGAGAAAGAAGCCCCGGGCCCTCTTTCCTATCAGAGTTTTTCTGGGATAAGCAGGATTCTAATTCTTGCAGCTTGTGCTGCTACACTGTAGCTCCAGGGTACCTTTCAACAATCTGAGGATCTAGGCTGATAGGTACTCCAGTTACTAATTCAAAGATCATTTTTGTCGTGCCTGTAGTAAACAGACAAACCTCGGACTTCAAGAAAACTGCTATCACACAGACAAATGTAATCTAACAGGACACTGTCTTACAGAATCATGATGACCTAATGCTGCTTCTTAATTCTTTTTTATGTGTGGTCAAGTAAACTTTCTTGAAAGACTTGATACCTAATATGGGAGCAAGACAGAAGTTTCAAAACCATAATTAACTATTCACTGTCTTCCTACCATGTACAAGATATTTATCTAAACAAAAAAATGTTTAAAAAATCAGTCTCTGCTTAATGCTGCTTATAAACTAGGTGAAAAAATTTTAAGAGAGAGATAATAATGAAATAGAGTTCAGGAAAAGAGACAAATTACATTACAGCCGAACACCTTCAGGCAGGCCAGAAAATCCTAGAAGGGCTCCAAGGATGGCTGATTAGTTAGGGAAAAGAAGGGCAAATGGAAATATTTAAATGGAGAGGGGATTTCACGTAGGAAGTAATGAGCAAAGCAAAGATGCAGAGGTACTTTTAGAAAGTCAATATGAATTTAGGGTTCCGACTTACTTAGGAAAAAGGGCACATTGAGAAATACGGATCAAATCCAGCCTTAGTCTATAACACTGCTGGAGGTGTTGAGTTATATGAATGGAATAGATAAAGAACATACTCCCCTGTAAAGGACAATTTGCTTTTATAAGAAATCGTTTTTCCGTTACCTCTCCCTGTAGTGCTTTGCACATTCATACTACTATGGTCAGCATGTGATAGGAAACTTGGAACTCCTGGGGTCTTTAGCTAGTGGCTAAAGGCTCTCCAAAAGTAGCATAGTCACTGTGCAAGTAGGATGCCTCTATTTGTGTTCAGATACGTAGAGGATGTGACACTGCAACAGAAAACTACACCAGTGCTTCTCAGTAATGGCTGCACATGGGAGTTATCTAGGGCAGCTTAGAAAATACTGATGCCTGGGTCCCAACTCCTAGACATTCTGATATTGTTGGTTCTGGAGTGCAGAATGCATATCAGAATTGCTTATAATTCCCCAGAGAGTCTAATGAACAGTCAATGTCACAGATCATTTGTGGTAGTTAGAATAATGCTGCCTACCACAATATCCCTGCCCTAAGCCCCAATACGTGGAAAGGATACCATGCCTGGAAAAGGACTCTGCAGATAGGATTAAGGATCTTGCAATGAGAATATTATTCTGGATATTCTTATTATAAGTTATTACAAAGGTCTTTATAAGAGGAAGAAGCAGAAGGGTCAGAATCAGATCCAAATCAAAGGTGCTTTGCTACTGACTTTGAAGATAGATTATGAAACTAAATTAAGGAACATAGATTGGTTCTATGAACTAGAGAAGGCAATGATACTCACCTCCTGCTTCTAAAAGGTACACAGTCCTTCTTATAACTCCACTAAAGTTTTCTTTCTTTAATATTTTCACCTTTGACTTTTGACTTTATTATTTAGGGAAAAACTAAAGTCTCAGCAAGCATGCCTTCTACTGTTTATTCTTTTGGAATGATAAAATTACTTATTTTGAAGCTCACAGTTATGTAGAAAAATTGCAAAAAGTCAAGAAAAAAATTTGTTACAAGATTTTCTACATAGAATTCCCTTATCATCATAGCACAAGTAACTTTGCCCAAACTCAAACCATATCATCACTCTTATTAGTAGCTTATATGAAATAATTAAGCATCATTATAACCTAGAATCATTATTCAACTTTTTCTCTGTTAGTATAAAGAGTATCTAACACTGTAACACACACAAACACACACAAGAAAACTAAAACAATTTCTAAAAATTTCCTGAAATTCCATGACCCATATCATGACTTGTCTTGCACTCAATA